CATCGTAGTGTGGGAATGCCAGCCGACCGGGCATCGTCAGCGCATAGCCTTTGCAAACTCGAGCAGCTCCAAGCATGACGAAAAGTGGAAATGCTGCAGTCGCTAAGCATGAAGTTTCATATCACTTGCGGCCTGTCCGGAATGCAATAAAAGCCGCGCAGCTATGCACAAAACGCAAAACTTATGTAGCACGTTAAAACATGGGGCACAATTGAAATAAGTGTAAAATAAATCCCAGTACTTTAGGCATTGTTCAGCATTATCGGTGGCAGCGGCGGCGGTAGTTCAGTAACTGGAGGATGGGGGGCTGCTATGAAACTTGGCTGACCAAAGAATACCGTCATCGGATTGCCTGTGCCTCTGGATATGCACTTATGCATGGACTCTTGAAGGAATAGACTCTTGAATCCGGTTCTTCAGAAGGTCATGGAACCATGCGACGGCTACAGCCTTTATGAAACTGGGTGGAGGGCCGAATGCATCGTAAGCTGGAGAAATGGTTGAAAGCAGTTTTCCTTTGGGCGGAAAAGGAAAGAAAGGTGTCGACATAGTGGGGTGTATCGTTCGCAAAGAGATCTTCGCAAAGTTTTCTTCTCCTTTCCAGCAGCTGAATGAAGTTTTCAAGAACTAGAATCGTCAGATGAGAAAGCAGATTTTGAAGAGATGCAGGAGAGAACTGCTATTATGCCATCCCACAGTCGCGGCAATTAAAAATGCGAGTGGGCGTGGGATCACGGTGGAACGGATTTGGGGAATATGTGCTTGAAATTCTACACGAAATACGTACTTTTGTAGATGAGAGGATTGTAGGGATTTATGTGGAAATTGGAAGCTAATTTAGTTTCGTCGACTTGCTTAATACTTTCACTTTAATTCGCGTATCGCACGTGAGAAGAGTGAGGCGAGGTATTCCATATTGTCAAAACTTTTCAAGTTGAATTGGTGGTTTGGGCATCAGTGAAACGCGTAAATAGTTTAGCCATTTACGCTTCGCTGTTGTTTTGATTCTCGTTGTGATCAGCGCTAGCGAAGGCAGTGAGGTGCTGCAGGATCCCAATGCTTGCAGTAAAGAATTTGGTGTGAAAATCATCGTACTGAAGACGAAGGTGATGCAGGGTATGGGT